TTTTTATTCAGTGTTTGGTTTTTTTTTAAACTTCTGGGTAGTTCCCAGCCTGTCACTCTTTCACTACAATAAACACTTATGTATCAAGGTCCTGTAGGAAAGGGTCCCACTCATCGGGGAAATACAAATCAAATCCACACTGAGATGTCACCTCACACCGGTCAGAGTGGCTAAAATGAACAACTCAAGAAACTATAGATGCTGACGAGGATGTGGAGAAACGGGAACCCTCTTGCACTGTTGGTGGGAATGCAAGCTGGTGCAGCCGCTCTGGAAAACACTGTGGAGATTCCTCAAAAATTAAAAATAGATCTACCCTATGACCCAGCAATTGCACTACTAGGAATTTATCCAAAGGATACAGGAGTGCTGATTCGAAGAAGCACATGTACCCCAATGTTTATAGCAGCACTTTCAACAATAGCCAGATTACGGAAAGATCCTAAATGTCCATCAATTGACGAATGGATACAGAAGATGTGGTTTATATATACAATAGAATACTACTTGGCAATGAGAGAGAATGAAATCATGCCATTTGCAGCAACGTGGATGGAGCTGGAGGGCTTTATGCTAAGTGAAATAAGTCAGTCAGAGAAGGACAGATATCATATGTCTGCACTCATATGCGGATCTTGAGAAACTTAACAGAAGACCATGGGGGAGGGGAAGGGGAACCACAAGAGACTCTTGAATACAGAGAACAAACTGAGGGTTGATGGGGGGGGGTGGAGGGGAGGGGAAAGTGGGTGATGGGCATTGAGGAGGGCATTTGGGATGAGCACTGGGTGTTGTATGTAAGCGAATTTGACAATAAATTATATTTTAAAATAAGTTAAAAAATAAAATAAAATAAAAATAAAAAGCTTTTGCCTAGTTCTAGGGACTTGAATATTTTTTTTCCTATAGTCTTCTCCAGAATTTTTATAATTTACATTTAAGTTCATGATTTATCTTGAGTTAATTTTTACGGAAGGTGTAAGGTTTAGATCAAGTTTTTGTTTTGTTTGTGGTTTTGTTTTGGGGGAATTTTTGGCCAATGGATGTCCAATTATCTATTTTTTTTTAAATTTTTAAAAATGTTTATTTATTTGAGAGAGAGAGACAGAGAGACAGAGATAGAGAGAGACAGAGTGTAATCAGAGGAGGGGCAGAGAGAGAGGGAGACACAGAATTAGAAGCAGGTTCCAGGCTCCCAGTTGTCAGCACAAAGCCTGACATGGGACTTGAACTCACCAACTGTGAGATCATGACCTGAGCTGAAGTGGGATGCTTAACTGACTGAGCACCCAGTAGCCCCATATATTGTTTTGTTTTGTTTTGTTTTTTTTAAAGCTGGTCATACATCTGGAAAACTTACTGAACTCTGTTACTAGTAATAAAAACTCATTGTTGATTCGAGTGCTGTTTCTTTTATCTTTCAGAGAGAGAGAGAGAGTCAGTAGAGTAGAGGGGCAAAGGGAGAGAGAGAGAGAGAGAAAGAGAGAGAGAGAGAGAGAGAGAGAGAGAGAGAGAATCTTAAGTAGGATCCACACTCAGCACAGAGCTTTTCATGGGCTCACGACCATGAGATCATGACCTGAGCATAAACCAAGATTTGGATGCTTAACCGACTGAGCCACCCAGATGCCCCTATTCTAGTGTTTTTTTCTACATAACATTATAGTCTACAATAAGAAGACTTATTTAAAATTTAAAATTTTTGAATTTAAAACAGCTTAAATATAATCAAAAACAACTGACTTTCTATCAGAAACGCTGGACATATTGAAAGTAAAAACACTACCAGTCTAGAGTTGCATAATCAGTAAAAACATACTTAAAAAATTAACAATATCCGGAGTAAAAATGGAGTTCTCTTCAATTCCCGTGAGAATTTCATGGGTAATATAAGAATATTTGAAAAATATTTGAAATATTTGAAAAAAATCTACAATTTACTTGAAATGGGTGAATTTCTTGAAAGACACAAATTACCAAAACTGATACAAAAATAGAATACCTGAGGGGCACCTGGGTGGTTCAGTGGGTTAAGCGTCCGACTTCAGTTTAGGCTGTGACCTCACGGTTCATGGGATCGAGCCCTGCATCAGGCTCTGTGCTGACAGCTTAGGGCCTGGAGCCTGCATCAGATTCTGTGTCTCCCTCTCTCTCTGTCCCTCCCCTGTTTGTGTTCTGTCTTGCCGTCTTTCTCAAAAATGAATAAACAGCAAAAAAAAATTTTTTAATTGAATATCTGAGTTACTCTATATGTATTAAATCTAGTAAACTGGTAGTTAAGTTTCCCCAAAGAAACATAAGCAGAGATTACGTCACAGGTGAATACCAATCCTATACTGACTCTCTTAGAAATTAGAAAAACACTTTCAAACTCATAAGACCAACATTACTTTGATACAAAATCCAGAAAAACACATTCAAGGAGTTGAAAACTATAATTCATTATCCCCTTTTGACCACAGATATAAAAATCTTTGACAAATATGGATAAATCATGTGAGGCACTATGGAAACGGGAAAATTCATCCAGCTCAGGTCAAATTTATCTCAGGAATCCAAGATTACATTAGCAATTAATGCAATTCACTATATGTACAAAATAAAGAAGAAACATATATGGTCATCTCAATAAAGATAACAGCATCACAAAATTTTAAATCCATTCATGGTAAAAAATTTGAGCTAATTAGACACAGAAAGGAAATTCCTTGGGATGACAAAATACATCTATGAAAAGCCTACGGACAGGATCATACTCATTGGTAAAATATCTCCTAGGATTGTCGAAAGAATAAAAAGAATAATGGGAAATATAACTATGCCTGGTACAAAGCAAATGCTATGGAAGTATCCGCTATTATTAACAAAACCCACAGGAACACCAAAGATCAATAGGAAAAATTGATAAATAAATTCAATATATTCTAGTATTTTCACATTGAGAAAATACGCAAAATTCAAGAAAGTCAACTAAATCTGTGGGAAACTATAGGTACCAATAAAGTCCCTATCAGTTCAAAAATAATTATGGACCGTTGTGTGCAGGAACCAGGGTATAGTCATTTGTAGGAGTTGATTATTTGCATTTCTTCCCATCTTCTGTTTTAGTTATTTCATGCGCACAGCTAAAGTCAGCCATGTGGGAGTTTTTATGACATGGAAATCCGCAAATGCTGCAAATTCTTTTTTTTCTGCCTCTGACAAGCTGGTTGTTGAACATCTACTGGCGATCCCATGGGCTTGTGGTAGAAGGAGAAAATCCAGACCCAAGACGTAAAGAGAACAACATCCACACATTTCTTTACTTAAGAAAAGTTCTAAGTAAATTTACTTTGGCCAGTTATGTAACTCGTTGACACTAAATCGTAAGAACAGGTATTTGCTTTAAGCATAGGTGTGTATGCTTTTCCATCTTGCCATGGGTTATATTTCTTTGCTAATGTCCATCAAATTTTGTGAGGCATGCTAATTATGAGACATACGAATAGGCAGGCTGAGCAATTCTTATTAACCCAAATTGATTAGGCAGGAGTAAATTAGAACTCTGGAGTTTGATCCATGTTATTTGTATCAAATGTCCATAATTCTGCCTCCCCTCGTGGCTCACAATGAAAACTAAGGAATGAGGGGCGCCTGGGTGGCGCGGTCGGTTAAGCGTCCGACTTCAGCCAGGTCACGATCTCGCGGTCCGGGAGTTCGAGCCCCGCGTCGGGCTCTGGGCTGATGGCTCGGAGCCTGGAGCCTGTTTCCGATTCTGTGTCTCCCTCTCTCTCTCTGCCCCTCACCCGTTCATGCTCTGTCTCTCTCTGTCCGAAAAATAAAAAATAAAACGTTGGAAAAAAAAAAAAAGAAAACTAAGGAATGAAAGTTAAAATAAAAAGACGACCAAGCTATACAACGTCTCTTCTTCCTTCCTTGTGCTCCGTATGTATGAAAAGGAACGGTTAAAAATTCGCTCATTCGAGCAAAAATCAACTATCGGGACTACATCAAAATAAAAGGCTTCAGGGTAGCAAAGGAAACAATCGGTAAACGTAAAAGTCAACCTAAAGATTGGGAGAAGAGATTTGCAAACGCCATGCTTCATAGAGGGACAGTCTCCAAAATATATAAAGAATCTATAAAACCCAACACCCGGAAAGCAAATAATCCAGTTAAAAAAGGAGCAGAAGATATGAACAGACTTTTCTCCAAGGAAGACCTCCGGGTGGCCCACAGGCACACGAAAAGATGTTCATCACCACTTTTCATCAGGGAAATGTGGGTCAAAATCACAATCACCTCCTACCTCACCCCTTCAGAATAGCTACAATGAACCACACAAGAGACAACATACGTCGGCGAGGCCGCGGAGAGAGGGGAACCCTCTCACACTGTTGGTGGGAATGCTAACTGGTGCAGCCACTCTGGGAAATAGTATGGAGGTTCCTCCATACTCAAAAAACTAAAAATAGAACTCCCCTACCCCAGCAATTGCCCTACTAGGCATTCATCCAGGGGACACAGGTGTGCTGTTTCGAAGGGACGCATGCACCCCCATGTTTGTGGCAGCGCCATCGACAACAGCCAAAAGATGGAAAGAGCCCAAATGTCCATCGCTGCACTAAAGAGAGAAGTGGATGTAATACAAACCTCCTTTGGTGTTTTCCTTCTCAGTTACCTTATGCAGCTTTCTCCTCGTACCTCCACTCGGAGGTGTTTTTTTTTTTTTTTTTTTTTAATTTTTTTTTTCAACGTTTTTTTTATTTATTTTTGGGACAGAGAGAGACAGAGCATGAACGGGGGTGGGGCAGAGAGAGAGGGAGACACAGAATCGGAAACAGGCTCCAGGCTCTGAGCCATCAGCCCAGAGCCCGACGCGGGGCTCGAACTCACGGAGCGCGAGATCGTGACCTGGCTGAAGTCGGACGCTTAACCGACTGCGCCACCCAGGCGCCCCCACTTGGAGGTTTTAAACGCATCTCTTTGTCTCTCGCATCAGTCATCTGGGGAGAATTTTAAGCCAGATTTATTAACTAAAAAATGTAGTGACAGAGGTCTCGCGAGGCATATGCTGGGGTTAGCTTCGGACAAGAGAAAACAGTGCGGTTCAATAACGCTTCTCCTTTGAGGGCCTCTTGCCAAGCAAGAGACCCTGTGGTTCTCCAGAAGGTTCTTTCTCCAAGCTCCAAGTTTGCTGCAAGGAAGGCCAATGCACCTACATCACAAAAAAAAAAAAAAGAAAGGAAGTTTATGGGGACAATTTACCCGCACTGGTAATTTTTTTCCTACCTGGCAAGGTAGTCGGTCTCACGTGGAAAGAATGGAACGCTGTGGATGTTGGGCCCGCCAAAAAGCCAGGCTTCCATCACAACACTGCTGCTTGCTGGCTCCAAGTCTTTTAGTCTCTCTGAGCATCCGGTTCCTTTCCTAGAACACGGGTGGGCAACCCCCACCTCGGAAGTCATTGTGGGATTAAACAAGCGCTTGGCGCATAGAAAATGCTCGTGCGCCGTGGCTTGCGTTGTTCGAATTGGTGCGATGCTCATCGCTCTGGAAAATGAGAGCTGTCGTTGTTAAGGGTCACGCGTTTCTGGTGATAGCTAGGCGTCATTCGGCCGAGCAGGAATTATGCATGAAGATTATCTTTCAAATGGGGAGGGTGCCGATGGGTATCGGGTTCACTGCAGTCAGGTGAAAGCCGTGGAGACGTGAGAGCCTCTGGGGACATTGGTACAAAGGCAGGTTCCCATGCGGCAGCTACGGAGCTTTTGATTCCCCGGCTCTGTTGCCGAAACCGAGGGCCCGCCCTGCAAGCAGCGATCTCCTGACCCTCTTGCGGGGGATTCCGGGAACAAATACGGGGAAACGTCGGTTGGTTTCTACGATGGGCCATGCAGTCTGCATTTGTGATCCCATTTGGCCTTAGTAAGCTTGGGGGTTCAACTTGGGGGAAAAAAAAAACCAAGCTGAAAGCTTTTAGATCTATTTAAACACATCCATAACAGACTGTGTGCTTCAAACCATCCCTGTAACCTGCTCACAGCAGGTCCGTGCAGAGCAGCGTGAGGCCTGCCGGGTCCTCGGCACAGGGTCAACTTGTGTTGGCTTAATCTGAGTCTTCCTGAGCCAGACCATCCCCCAGGGGCTCAGGGATGATTACCTCCAGGCTATATAGAGCAGGCTTCCCGGGCGGGCGTGTGACCGGGGCAGAGCCACAGGGCTCTGCACTAAGGGCCCTGTGCGGGCTTTAACGCTTTGTGTCAATTGTCTAGACAGCAACTTTTGAAGGAGGCGTTTCTCCTCTTCTTCGCCACCGGGTCCCACAAATGGGTAACACATCCTAGTAAGGCAGCGTGGTCAGAGCAGGGCATTAAATCACTCTGCGTTAGCAGATACACTAAAGAGCCTCAGATATGGATTTAGTTGCCCCAAATCACACTGGTCAAAGTGAAGAGAGCCAGGATTTGAACTCGGGGTGGTGATTGGCCAGGAGACCCTTATCGTGCAAGAGACTGCAGAAGCCATCCAGGAGCCCACGAGAGGCTCACGGGCAGCACTGCCCTTAGCCTCAGCTGAAGCTCCTTGCTCAAGTCCAGGGTCACTGGTCCTGGACCACCACGGCCAGCAACCCCGGGCCCTCCTTCCCGACTCAATCGTGCTCCCATCCTTCCTGCCACAGCCTGAGCCCCTTTCTCTGAGCTTCTACTGTAACACAGATAAAGACAACCAACCATACCCCTTCTTCCGCACCCTCAGTTTCAGCTTAAAAAACCTGATTAATTTTCGTCCTGCTAACATATTGATTAAAGAAAAAAAAAACAAATCACAAAAATATGTTCTTCCTTTCCATACGTTCCGTTTTCTTCCTTTGCCTGACACCTGACCTGCAAAGCGCGCCAGGGCAAGTCCCATCTTTGTCTCCCCCACCCCCCTTCAACCTCAGTGGTGTCTCCCAAGGGCATTTTTTATTTATTTATTTATTTATTTTTTTTTTTTGAGACAGAGCATGAGCAGGGGAGGGGCAGAAGGCATTTCTTAAGTGAAGATGAAAAAGGAATACAGAGGGAATGTGAAAGAAGAGGGAAGACAGGCTGAATGATTAAAAACAGTTTTTCCTTCTCCCCAGTGATCTGTAGCTGGAGCAAAAGCATTTGGCTTTGTTTTCTTTATAAGTAGAACTAAGCAAACTCAGCAATACCTATAACTCTCAAGCCCCAAACAGGTGCCCCCACAAACCACAAGCACAGGATGGACCTTACAGCCAACACGAGCGGCTAACACACACGGGGTGACGCCTCGAGGAAGAGGCAACAAGGAGTTTGCAGGCGCGTCAAAACGGGTTTGGCTCCCAGATGAAGCATTTGAGAATCGTCACTTGGGAGTGATTTTGAGCCTCTGTCCTGCTGGGTTTCTTCGTTCCTGAAATGGCAATTGCATTAGATACATCAGAAAGCAGATCCTGAATTTTAAAAAGAATGGATTGGGAGACAGACAGGAAAGGGTTAGTTACCTTTCCTGGGCAATGTTGGCTTCCTGGACGTGGCCCTGCTTCTGGGCTCCTTGGCTTGTTTCCATCCTGAGGGCCTGTGGAAGGAGGGACAGCAAATGGAGGAAGTATGCAGAGTTGAGAACAAAACACCAAGGGAGCTGAGAAAATCAGTGGAACAAAGGAATTCGATGTGGCCGCCCAGTGAGGATGAAGCCAGAAGCAGGTCTGAAAAGCTAGAGGAGGGGCGCCTGGGTGGCGCAGTGGATTAAGCGTCAGACTCTTGATTTTTGGCTCAGGTCACGATCCCATGGTTAGTGGGTTCGAGCCCGCGTCAGGCTCTGCACTGACACCGCGAAACTGCTCGGGATTCCCTCTCTCTCTCAATAAATAAATAAACTTAAAAAAAAAAAAAAAAAAAAAAGCTAGAGGAGCAGCACCAGGGAAATTCTAAGGAGCCCATACATGTGTCCTGTAAGGAGGTCAAAGGTTCAGGTTATTTGTCAAATGGCAAGCTTTGCCCACGCTGCTTTGGAAATTTCTGCCCGGCCTTTGCGGTTGTAGCTACACGTTATTTAATTATAAAGAAGTAGGTAAAGAAGAGCTAGAAACGTCTGAGGGGAGAGTAGGACAGCTGTGACCTTTGATGCCATTCTTCCTGGGGACACATTCCATGACAGTACTTCCTAAAGCGTAGCCTGGCTTGGAATCCCAAGGGGAAGTTTGTTACAATTGACTGTGGGACCTACCTGCAGACTGTCTGACTCCGTAGAACTGGGGTAGGTCCGCAGGATGAACATTTCCAGTAGGTTCCCAGGCGATGCTTTTGCTATTAGCCCAGGGACGCGCTGAGAGCCCCTGCTTGCAGAGATCAGTTTATGCAATTGCAAGCAGTTATCAGGGCTCCGAAATTAGCCCTAACTATCGTTGGCGATGTCTTATCTGCAAGTGTCCCATTTTCAGGGCCCGGCCCCAAGAGCCCTTAAACTGCCAGCAGAATTTACTGGACACTGCTTTCCCCACCCCACCCCCGCCCCAAATGCATCCTAGAGTAGGTATTCATCTTCCAAATTTGAAATCTTTCTGTGGATGTCTTCGGTGTTTGAGTTTTCCCCACTTCAAAGGCCTATTTTGTGATACTCTCAGTAACAGTTGCTTACAGAAAAAAGGGGTAAAATCCTTACATGGGAGTGTAACCTTTTAAAACCATTACAGACCACAGCTGAGCCTCTGAAAGGTACATTAAGAGGACAGCTGTGCGGGAGGCATTTTGAGGAAATCTCCAAGCCTGCAATTTGAAGAGCCTTTTAACCACCTCCAGCGTCCCAGAGATCTCAAGCTCTCTTTCTTCCGGACAAAATGCTATTTCCGGGGTTTTCTCTTTCGTTGCCTAAGATTCCACCATACCAACATGTGAATCCCCGTTTATTTTTGTATTCTTTTTATGTCTGGCTCCTTGGAGCTGTTCTCAGAGTTAGCTCCAGGCAATCTGCTGCAGATGTGTGAGAGGATGGTCAGCAGACCTTGACCATCTTTAAAAAAAAAAAAAAATAGCACTCCTATGATCTTAAGAATAAAATCCAAGAGGAAGCCTAAACAAGACAGTGACCTCCTGGTTAAGGTATTTAATCCTTTCTGATATTTGCATCTCACCCCGGGAGGTAAAGACTGCAGGTTTATGTGGGAATGGCTTGCTGAAAGGTTGGGACCATATTGGCATTAGGCCATGTCAGAGTAGATAAGTAGGCAAATCACGCATCCACGTTTTGTGGTTCTACTGGATGGAAATTAAGGCTCGGCAACAGGTTAAGAAAAAGACATGTTCGGGTGAGGATGTCTACCTTACGTCTTGCTCTCTATCAAGTGTACAGGCGTATCCTCTTTGGATCTCTTGATAGATTCCTGTAACAAAGAAGCAGAGAAACAAGATGTTGGCAACTTTCCCAACTGAAAAAAAAAAATCGTGAAAAGAAGGGCTTCCAGAATGATATTTCCTTTATCGGTGTTTCCAGACCACCAGGTTGTTCTTTTCATACCTTGCGAGCATCACAGCTAAATATGATATTCATACTATTAAATAGCAAGCATAGCAGAGGCAGGAGTCAAAGGAAATGGATGCTAACCAGATACAGCTAGTGTGGACATCCTGGCGCATATTAGCTGAATACCGACTCTGATGAGAGCAACACTCAACCAAAGGAGAGTATCCCCTTCATCGTTATCTTTACCAGAGTCACTAGGGTAGTTTCTGCTTCCGTACTTTGTAATGGTGGCTTAGGATCAAATATAGGACCAGGAGCATCCCCGGTCTCCCTATCCTGTATCCCTTACAGCATAGCAAACTTTCTGAAGACTCTCAGTGACGAAACTCTGATGGGACCCAATGACTGGAGAAACAACGTCCCGAAACAAACTGAGAAGGGAACTTCTGTGAAAAATGGCAACAAATGGAGACAGTAGCCCCGCTGGTACTTCCAGTCGAGAGATGACAGAAACTGGGAATAGGACGTGGCCAACTTGTCAATAACCCACCGAATGGCCTCCCCGTCTCTTGTTCACGTGGGCTACGGCTATCACGATGTAATGTCTTCAAAATTAGAACTAAAACGTTTTGAAAATACTTATTGACTAACTCAAAATAGCATCAATAAATCCATTACACTTTCACAGAAACGACCCATTAAAAATGACTGTCTTTCCCCAAGCCACAACGAATTCAGTGAGAAGAAAGCATAGTTTTTACCTTTTGCAAATGTCTCTAGTTTCTGACTTCTTGGAAGACAACTGGTTTCTCCTACTGCCTCTGCCTGAAATGTTTTGTGCCCTTTTGTTTTAGTTGAAGTAAGTGGGGAAAAAAAAACTGGCCTCACACATATATGCAGTTGGAGAAGGGGAGGGTGATTTTCAGAGCCTTCTCAGATAAATATGGATACTCTCCTTTGAAACTACACCTACTCTTCACAAGTGCTCATTTTGTAAATGTTATTTAGAATGTAGAACCTGAAACCATATCAATGAAAGTTTTCATACTGTTATATTAAACCTCATTGGTCTATCTTGCATGTTAAGTGGATATTTTACTCATCAGTGATTTCATGACCTAATACACACACAGACACACACACACACACACACACACACACACACACACACACGGGTTATAACGAAGAAATGCTAAACAAAAAAGTAAAATGGTATGGGTGGGGGGGGTTGCTGGGTGGCTCAGTCAGTTAAGCGTCTGACTCTTGATCTCAGCTCAGATCATGATCTCATAGTTCCTGGGATGAAGCCCGGAGTGGGGTACTGACAATGCAGGGCCTGCTTGAGATTTTCTGTCTCTCTCTCCCTCTCTCTCTGCCCATTCCCCACTCTCTCTCTCTCTCAAGAAATAAACATTTTTTAATAACATTTTTTTTAATTTTTTTTTCAACGTTTTTTATTTATTTTTGGGACAGAGAGAGACAGAGCATGAATGGGGTAGGGGCAGAGAGAGAGGGAGACACAGAATCGGAAACAGGCTCCAGGCTCTGAGCCATCAGCCCAGAGCCCGACGCGGGGCTCGAACTCCCGGACCGCGAGATCGTGACCTGGCTGAAGTCGGACGCTTAACCGACTGCCCCACCCAGGCGCCCCAATAACATTTTTTTAAAAAACGTGAAGCAGCATTAATATTAGCCAAAATTGACGTGAGGTAAGTAGTTCTGAAAAGAAATAGTTCTTCAATATTTAGGTTCCCAGAAACATATCGTTTACATTAATAAGGCAAAAACTTGGATAATAACAGGGCAAGTCCATTCCCTCTCTCAAAAGTTGGCAGGTCACAAAAGAAAGCGTAAAGGTAGAAAAAACTTGAACATTAAAACTAACAAGTCTTGTTACATAGATGCAGTAGGACTAAAAGAAGGATGAAGGAAGGAAAGAATCTTTGAGTCTAGTGAATGCAGAATGCTAATTCCTACCAATATGCTTATGAAGTCAAGTACGTGGGGCATGGTAGGATGTGACAGCAAGCTGCAAAGCAAAACTTCACAAGTTACAAAAAGCAGAAATCATAGATGTCATTCTCCTGACCGTGATGCAAAAACGAACACACAGAGACAAAGAGCAGAGCTCCCAAAAGTAGAGCTTGCTGAGCGCTTGAATTGCTGTCCCTGGTAACACAAAATGTAGCCAGAAGTAATGAGGGAAAAAAATAACAGGCAAACTGCGTCACTTTTCATGGGGGGGGGGGACTGGGTATTGGTTTCCATCCTCCTGTAAAATGGGATTTACCTTTATAACAATAATAATTTTACAAGATCAAGAAATAGAACATGAAATGCAGTATGTACGCGTCTTAAGTGATAGAACCTTCATTGATAAAACCAAAAAAAAAGATGAGGGAGGTTTTGATACACTGGACTCAAGTGTCCGTTGGGTAGATGTGGGTGAGACATAAATGATTCCAATTGCTTCAAGTAACGTCTTCACAGCTGTCTCTTCACCTTTGGGTTCTGGTTCATCATGCGCGGCCTCCTTCAAAACTTGATTTTGTACTTGTTGGCAAAAACAGCAGCAAAAAAAGCCTGCCCAATTCTGCATGCTCTTGGTTTAGCAGCTGCAGGTAAGAGAGAATTTCTCTTTCCTAATAATTTTAGCAAACCTTCTAATTCCCCACGATAGCAAAGGGAAGTGTCTGTCGGAAGAGAGGCAACATGTCATCCCAATTGATGGCAAGAATACAGTTGGCGGTTTCCAAAACTCCTCGTTTGCAAAGCGAGAATGTACCCTAGGAGTAAGAGGCAAACTCCAAACTTTGATGAAGGCCACAAAGAGAAAACAACAATGAAGCTTTAAATAGGCACAAAATAAGATTGAAATGAAATGTGACATACGCATTATGGAATGGGAAAATGCGAACTTATAAAGACGTCAATCACTGCCAAATTCATCGTGATTGAAATCTCAAAAGAATTTTTAAAGACTCTTGGCCAGGAGATTTTAAAATGTATCTGGTCCCACCAGAAAAAAAAAAAAAAAAAAAAGAAAAAAGAAAAAGAAAAAAAAGGGAAGGACAAGTCAAGAAAATGTTTAGGAAATTATCAGGGGATCTTTGTAAATACGCAAAAAAAATACTCGAAACCTGTAATAATTAGTCCACATAATATTAACATGAGAGTAGATATGTCAGTGCCAAACCCAATGGAGAAAAACCTGTGAATAACTAACTGGAAATGATCTTTACAATATTTTTCATACTTTAAATCATTTCGGGTCAAAATAGACCCTTTAATAAATTAGCGTGTTCATATACTATTGGTAACCTTTTGGTAAAACACTGTTAGATTTCTTTTTTTCATCCTGCAAACTAGACTTCTCCACGTCAGCAGGTATATTCTTGTATGTTCCTATTTTTATTCTTATGTATAAAACCACATATTACCTTATCATTCATCAAAATGATTAAAGACCAAAGAAAAGGAAAGAAGGAAGGGGGAAAAAAAAGAGAGGGGGGGGATGAGTAAGGGAGGGAGACAGGGAGGGGAGCTCTGTCCCTGATGGAATTCAGGTCGCATGGAGAGGTCACGGCTAGTGCAGCAGGTAAAGCGTGAATGGCACCAAGCTCTGGAGAACTGCAGGGGTGATTTAGAACTTGGTGACTATTTATGGAAGGAGAAGTTGAGAATAACCCTGAGGGACCTCAATTTCTTTCTTTTTATAATGACGTTTCAAAGCTGAAGAGACCAGATTTCAAATTTTAACATCCAAAATCAAATTTTTACCCAAGACATTCTAGCAACTTCATATCCTCAAAGCTACAATTTTTGTAACGCTTTAAATCTAAAAAGAGACTGCAGTAGATAATTCTCTCTGGAGGAGATCGATTTGGGGTGGGGGGTGGGAAATATATGAAATATGTTTGCTCTCTGCCATTTCGTTGGCAACCACACAAGCAGGACGAACTGGAATTAGAAATACAGCTCATCTCCATAACGAAGCATCTACAAATCCTCAGTACTCGTGTCCTTGGCTTGCTTCTCATTGGCTTTCACAGTTGGCCTTGACTTTTTAAATGTCCTGTTCTCATAGACAGTATTTTCTCAGATCAGACGCCTGGAATTACAGTCCTTGGTATCCAGGAGGATGGGTTTCCTGGGACCAACCTCCAATTTGGTGGAGTCCTATTGAAATGCCAATCAAAGTTCTAGGCAGCAGGGGAAGAAGGCTCCCCGGGAGCATTCTTATTCTGAAATGTAAATTATGGTTTGCCTTGACTTCCAATGCAATCTTTAAGATGTCCTCCTCCCTTTGTTCAGAAAACATTCTCAGTGCAGCTGGGAATGCGATTTCCAATTAACAGACAAATCAGCGTGTAAGGAAAGCAAGACTATTAACATTCTTAGAGTTAGGCTTGGAGGCTTTTTCTCATAGGCCATGTCAGATTTGCAGGATCTCGAAAGAACGATGGTTGGGGTGGACTCTGATTGATTTAGAGTGGAATACAATTTTCTCAGGAAGTGTGCTTGTTAGCGTTTACGAATCATAAGCGGGCAACCCTTGCCAGCTAATTCAGATCTTGTGTACCTAAATATAAGGACGGAGCATTTTATAAATACAAATCGATAAAAATCTATTTTGTAATTCAAATGATCGCTTTTCAATATTTATTTTCCTCTGGGAAATGTTAGAAATAATGAGGAAAGTCAAAGTTACATGCACTCACACATTCACCCATACGTGGGCACACTGACTTGCCTGCTTCCTTGCCTATTGTACCATTGCCCAGCTGTTTGAATTATTACCTTCAATAAGTCGTCCTCTGGTCCGGATGCACCTTAGTCACGTCACTCTGTGGTCACTGTCACTAAACATAGAGCTCATTTCCCCGCGGCTTGATTTTGGCCAATAGGATTTTTGCAGATTGACACAAGCAAAAGTTCTAAATGAATGCCATGCTTGAAAATGTTTAACAGCTGCCTCTCCACTCATTAAACAGCTTAGGTGTGGAACCAATTGTTAAACAACGGAAGGAAAGAGTTTCTGATTTGTGGCAGTTCATGATTTTCATGGTACAAATACTCCCACCACAGCCAGTTTCAAGCTACCCACGAGATACCGGTGAATGCGAAGCTGGGCAGAAATATGCATTGACAATATTATTTCATAGGATGTCTACTGAAGGGAAGGAAACAACCTTCCTCTACCCTTGAAGCTCCTCCAGCTGGGCTAGAATTACATTGACATGAGATAGATTAACAGGAGAAAACCCTAAAGTTTTATTACATGTGCTGGGAATCCCAATAATGAAATTGAGACCTAGAGAAGTGACCAAGGCAGGGGGCTTTGGGGGCTCAATCCGCTAAGCGTTCAACTCTTGACCTCAGTTCAGGTCTTGATCTCAGAGTTGTGAGTTCAAGCCCCTCATTGAACTGCGCGGGGAGTGAAGCCTACTTAAAAAAAAAAAAAAAAAAAAAAAGACCAAGGCAGACAGTTTGGATACTTTTTAGACAAAGATAGAATGAATCTGAGGAATTGACAGGATATAGAAAACCTAACTTTGGGAGCTTCAATTAGTAAGGAATTCTAAACAGAATTCGGGCCGGGGTAGTAAATTAGTAGAAAGAACAAGGATTGTTTATATAGCCTTCTGGGCTCTAAGTTTCCTATTTCTGGTGATAAGAATTTCTCTTCACCTCCCCGTACAGGGAGGGCACCTTTCAGGTGGGAGATTTATTTCCTTCTATCAGGGGGACAAAGGAGGGTCTGAGTGTTCTTACACAGGCAGTCTCTCCAATCACTTTTATTTAAAATTATCAATATGCCAGTGTGGCACATTGCGAGGCAGCTTGC